ATGTGCTGATGCAGCTGCTGTGCTAATGGTGAAAGTCTGGTGTAGTGTTCTGGTTGATAGGAGAGAGAATCACCAAGACCAGCAGAAGGGGGAGCTTTTGGAGTATAGCTCATTTTGATCATTAGTCTCAGCTGGTGCTCACTGACAGCTGTGCTCCCAAGCTTTTATGAATCCAGGATAAGGAGGATAGAAGGCACATCTTTAAAGATAAATGTGAGGTTATAACAGCAAGATCCTCAGAGAAACATTATTGCAAGCTCTGCTGTAGTGCAGTGCCTCAGTGCATGTGTGTGTGGTTTCTGTATGACTGTGACTACTGTAGTTTTCTTCTGATTCTTGCTTCTGATTCATGCCTCTCCCTCCCCTCAATAATTAAGCAAATTCAAAGCTAACAACATTTTCATGATATTGCTACTTCTTAAGGATTTTCTTGCTCACCTTGTAGCACTTTGAAAGGTTTGTCTTGTATGCAAATCATAGAGGAAAAGAGCTATAAGGTGAATTCATTGATTTAGGATTTACTTGCATTTCTCTGTAGACAGTACTGAACATGCTTTCAACATTCCATAATTCTATCAGAAAAACCTAGCTGCAGTTCTTGTCTAATTCAAAACTTAATGAATTCCTTCCCTTACCAAACTAATTAGGGGAAAGGTAAGAATAGGGTTCAGGAACTTCATGATCTGGGAATTCTGGGAAGAAAGGTTTTTCAAAACATAAAAAATAGGAATTTAACTTTCTAGGGAAAACAGAGATTGAGAGATATATGATTTTAGTCTTTACTGTTTTCATGGCAAGTAAGGCATCAAGAGAAACTCCTAACCACTCCATTTAACCCTATAGCAGAAATCAGTGATCATTTAATAATTATGAAATTATTAATCATTTAATTATTCCAGGTTATTTGCAAACATCTTCACCTATTGAAGTAATTACCTCCTGTAAGTTATGAATATGAGATGGTTAGTGGTTTCGGAGGCCAAATGCTGTTGCTGCTGCATTTATTTATTTATAATCTTCTTATAATTTATTTATTTATAATCTTCTAGTTGACTGGAATCTAGCCAATCCATTAAATATGGCTATGATTTTGGTTTTGCTCTTTAGCATATAGAGGCAGAGATTAACATTTTACAGTCAATTTCACGCATATAGACACCAAGTAATTTTAGTTTGAATTGATTTCAACCGCTTGTAGCGCAAATACATAGGGTATTGGCAAACCATTTCTGGTTCAAAACAGAAGTCATTAAAGGCTTGTGGAGGTGGTAAAGAGATATTTTGCTAAACCTAAACAAAAAATATAACCTTCATCATGCCCTGAATCAAATCATAAATGTGATTCCTGCTGCTTCTCAAGTGTCTCTGATGTCAATGCAGGCATAGGTGGGGTCAGAGGGCAGTGAGGCTGGGGCAGATTCAGCGCCCACTTTCCTGGACCACAGAGGACTTTGGAACTGAAATGCTTCTGGTTTAATGATAGCTCTCTTTTCACCTGGAATTAGGTGAAAGAGAAATATCAGATGCCCTTAACAAGGGAGGAACTAATTCTTGGTAAGTGGGGGCTTTCAAATGTTGTTCACTGGAACTACAGTGGCACAGCAACTCCCTCAGCGGGCACTGCAGCACGGCATGGTGTTTGCTTGAGGAAATGAGTGACATTCTCATGTATCAACACATTTTCTTTTGATAGGATTTACCTCCTCATTCCTGTTTAAGAAAAACATGTACTGTCCTTTTTATAACTTTGGTTGTTCTTTATCTTTGATGGAGGATGGGTGGTTCTTACACTTGAATTGACCATTCAATTTGATTATAAGCCCTAGCTAGTTATGTACAAAACTTCAGCGGCTTAACAGTATGTTCTGTATATATTGCCCACTAAATGCTTTGAACATATAATCTATTTATTGTTGATACAGAGATTTATTTTTTTTCACAGCTTCCCGCAGCGAAACTATTTCTCTATGCTTCTAAAATTGAACTTTTTTCATCTTGCATTTGGTAAAAGGTCTTAACTGAATGGACAAAATGTATTTCCGTAATTTAAATTTCTGTGTCTGTCCTCAGATCTCCATAGCAATTACAAGGAACACATGAGCTGCATTAGAGCACATGAACATTTATATGAACATTACTACTTTTGTGTTGAGAACCTTTATTTTTTTGGCTCAACAAATAGTTGATGCAAAGAACAGTTTAATAGTACTAAAGTCAGTTTCAATCAAATGATCAATTCTTTTAGGTTAAAAAGTACCAGCTAACATAATTAAATAATTTTTACTATCCTATTTATTCCAAGACTACTTCAGGTTCAGATGGACAAAATGACATAATTTATCTTACTGTACTCTGCATTACTTAAGTACACTGATGAATTTTTTTACATATATACTTATTTTATATTGCCTGAATGCTAAAGTATTTTTAGACAATAGTAATAACTGCTATACAAATTAAACTGCAACCAAGTAGCAACTAGGATTCTGAACAAGGTATTTGAACTTGAGCAAGACTGTTAAGTGCTATAAAAAATAATGAATGAATGGGAGGATTAAGGAAAAAAAGAGCATCATTTCCTGTTTCGTAATTTACGGATATTGTTCGTGCTAATTAGGTTAAAGCAAAAGGGAGAGACTATTCTGGTTCTGAATGTGCAGAAGACTCTCTAAACATGGCAAGATTATTTAAATGTTGAAACATCCAGACCAAAAAAAAAAACCTTTAAAAAAAGAAATCTAGCAAGTCTGACATTCAGAAGTCATGGATAACATTTGAATATTTAATATAGTATGAAGAAATGTGTAGTTTTCTTGCATAATCCTATTTTGTGTGTGTGCAAAGTGATCTTCATTTGGTGTACTTTTTTATTATTATTTTTTCTTCAGTGCATTCTAGATAAGTGTAAAGCATTGACTTCCCCATTCATCTTTACTTGTGGTCTCTCTTTTATCTAGACCATTTTCCATGTCATTGAACTTTATTCAGAGATAGAAGGTGATACTATGGTAATATGATATCCCTTGCTCCAGAAATACTAGCAGAAGTGCTACTATTGGTCCCCTAGTGCTAGTGTGATGCCAGTCTTATACTCTTATTTTTTTCTAAAATTACTTATATAGCCTAACCTCAGCAGTTACAGCTAGGAGAATCCATTTATTGCAGTAAGAGAGGCAGTAGCTGGGGTTTTTTATTCATCTTTTACAGCACTACTAAGCTTTGGCAACTGCAACCCCAAACAAAAAATGGCTAAAATCACTAAAACATCTGTTGGCAGATAACTCCCTATTTGTTCTTTGCTTCCATGGTTTCATACCATTGCCTTTCTGTACGTTACAACTGTGGGTAAATTGTTAAAAATTACACTCAGTAAGAAAGACCATCTTCAATAATAAATGACTTTGAAGATTTAATAACTGAACTCTAATAGAGGACTATGTTGAATAAGCAGATTTGTTAGCGTCACTTTTAGGTGGTGTAACCATGGAACAGGGGCAAACTAATTGACAAATGTAACAAAAGTTATTATCTCCTATCTTATGCCCTTGAATGTACTGTATTATGTCTAATAAAGGGCTAGGAAACTTGGATTAATAATCAGATAATTATCAGATCTTTAGATGTGGAGAGGAAAATCTTAGAAATAGCTTCCAACATTTCAATGTATTGTTTATTTTAGGCTGTATTGCCACATGAAGTTAAAATAATACAGAAACTTTGGGCTAAATGTCACTTACAATATCCTTTTAAAATTGCATCCAGATGTTTAAAAGAAAAAAATCTTTTTAGTATGTTCAGAAAGCCTGGGAAATTTTACATTTTGAATAAAATCAATATTCAATCAGAAATCTTACATTTCTATGTAAAAACCAATAGAATTATCATTAGTATATTGCATTAAGAAAGTGTATTAGTATATTTTTTCTGGAAAATACCTTTGGCTTTGAGTGGATGGGTGGAAAAAACAGATCATAGAAACTTATTGAGGTACAACTTGTATTCACATCTAGTTCATACTCAAACATAAAATTAACTTTATTACTGTATCTCTTTTTTCTCTTCTAGTAGATCTATGTAATCTATCAATATCCGGTGAATCTACTTTGCTATCTTTTGATATTTTAGACCCCAATGAAGGAATTTAATATTCTTACAATGTAGATTTTACTGAAACCTGTGTATGTAACTAATTTTTGTAGTCTGTTTCTGGCTAACTGCATGAAGCATAATGATCTTTCAAACCACTAACATTTTTCTCCAGTAATATTCTTTATAACATATGTTCTCCTTTCATGTTCTGGTTAGATGACAAAGAAAACACTTTGATCATGAAATATGGCCCTATAAGAGGAATAAGTATCTTACTCTTTAAAAGTTTTACTTCTCTGAATTGCTACTTGTGACACTGCATTTTATTTTGGAGCACTCTGCTCCTCTAGAACTGTNAAATACAGTTTTGTGCAGAATAGTTATCAGGGTTTTTTTGTTATTATTCTTTTATTGAGAGTTTCTCCAAAGAAACAGAGCACAATTTCTCAAAGACTGATAATTTTATGATTCAAGAAAGAAAAGGCTCGTTCCAGGAATTGGGAGACTTAATTCTATAATAACTTTGTTGATGTCCTCAGAAGAATTGCTTCATTTCTTGGTAATATCTCAGTTTTCCCTTCAGGACAATTGTATAATATAAGTAAATAGGAAATTGATGCTACAATAACATCTCGTGGGTTTTTTTTTCCTACTCCACAGTGCAGCCAACACAATATATATTTTCTTGAATATCCTCATTAATCAGGTTCCAAATCAGCTACAGTTACTATGTAGAAATTTTTTATATTAAAGACTTACTATCAGAGACTTTTCTCAAGAATTCTTTTTTTTTTTATTTAATATTTTTACTTATAATAGTTGAGATTTTTCAGTATACGTTATAATACCTAAATATTTGTGTCCTGTAGATAGCTGCAAATTCTTACTGATCTGTGTCATCACCTTGACAGGACGAACTCTGCTGGAAAAGCTCTTCAGCCAGCAAGAAAATGCACCACAAGAAGAAGCAGAAAAACTGTGCTCTCGCATTATTGCACTGGGTCTTTTGCTTCCATTCACTGACTGCTTCAGGGAGCCATGTAATCAGAGCGCCCAGCAAAGCACGCCCACATTTGATGTAAGTACTGAAAAAGTTATCTTTTGTCTGTTTTGCCAAGCAAGACATGATTTACTAATGGTTTATCCCTCTCGAGAGAATTCTGTAAGTCCTTTTAATGAAAATTGCCCTTAGGAGAGTGGCCAGCTATTTTTTCTGAGCTCAGGTATATGCCCTTTTGTATACAAGTAAGCATAAGAAGGTTCTCCCATAACTTGATTTCTTAACTTTTTAACCCAAATCTTATTCTGCTATAATGTTCTTCATCTGCTTTTTTTCATTAAGTTGCCTTCTTTGAATCAAAGCACTCTATAGGACTACCTAGATTTCAATCCAATAGCTGCTTCACCAAAAACCTAAATTAAAGGAAGAACAGAACACAACATTTCACAAAATTTTACAGAACCCAAAGAGGATGTCTATGTGAGATAATTCCCCCTCTCCCCCCAGAAATACTTTTGATACAAAATAGTGCAGAGATCAGTAGAAATTTGCTGGAATTCCAGCTACAGTTTTATCTGTGCCTTTGGGCTATCTGACCAGGGCTCTGTTACTGGTGGTGTTTGCATACTATTACAAACTTGTGGTGTAGACATAACCTAACATGCTTTCCCTTCCTCTTGGATAATTAATTCAACATAGGGATGTCTTTCTGTTTCTTGATACTTTACAACCCATGACATTTTGTACTGGTTTATGTGACTGAAGATAATCAGGGATATTCTCTTCAGTAATTAGCTTCAAAATAGAATACAAATATTAACTTATAAGTTAATAAGCTACTGGTATAGTTAAGATCATCCCTATTCTACACATTAAGCTGAAGCTTGGTTAGGAATACTCAAAAAATGATTGGCATAGATATGAGAGAACATGAGTCTCCTTAAATCTTTAAATCTTTCTAATCTTTCCTGAAGAACAGTGAAGGGAACTGGTAGAATACTGGTGAAGGGAAAAGGTGAAGGGAACTGGTGAAGGGAAAAGGGTAGAATATTTTTTTTTCTAATGAATTCTTAGACAAGCTTTCCTGGACAACCTAGCCTATCTACAAAGTCATGTCATGGTCCGTCTAAAAATATTCTGTTATATGTTTATGGTTTTTGGTGTTTTTTTAGGAAGCAACATTTAAAGCATTTTTAACTGTGTTTTGAAACTAATTGAAAAATTCAGTGTAACTATAAAACTGAGGTTACTCAGGCAACTTAAAATCACAGAGCATTTGAAAATGCTTGTGGTTAAATATACTCAAGAAAGTTACTGAAAAAGGCAATTTTCTTATTTTTCAGGTTGTTTAAAAGAGTTTGGTAATGTTTTCAGTTCTTCCACTTTTACATATATTCAGCTAATCAACTTTAGAGTATTGAATACAGTATTCTTAAAAAAATTTCTCCTCACCAATAAACAGATTTTTTAACAAATTCAAAGTTTGTGAAGGAACAGAAGAGGCTCTTTTGTTAACTGGTATACCATGCTTTGTCTGAGTAACAATTATTTTAGTTATCTTTCGTTTAATATATCCAGCAGGATGGACATTGTAGTAGCCTAGTGCCATGTGAACCGTGTATCAAAATCAGCAATTTAAGATGTTGCTGGCCTAGCAGTGATCTTAATTTGACTTGATCTATCATTAAGCCACAAATGTCACAGCCTCTACGACTGCTTTTTGGCATAAATCCCCTAAATAGATCACACTCCTGTAACACAATGTCAGAAGAGGTGTAAAGCCCTGTGTATGTAACTAAGCAATGCATCCTACTTCAAAGGAGCATACATCTGTCTTGAATACTACTACCTCAGTAACTGAATTCCACATGGTGGGAAGGTGAGAGCTGCTGCTATTGAGTTTTGGAATATGTTTCTGCTTCAGCCTTGGTGACCACAGTGCACCTATCTGTTTATTCATTACATGTTCTACTAAATGAAAACAGCTAGAACTGGCAGTATAAACTCTAATGGCTGAGAACTTCCAAATTATGTTTCTCCTGGTTGATTTTGCTTCTTAGAGCAAATAAAATATTTTACAGGAAGTAAGTGCTAATTTTTATGTAAGGAAATGAAACTATTAATAATTAGTGCGGAAAAAAAGGTGATGCTTTATATTACTTTAAAAAAGGACATGTAATATCTGTAAGTTGTGTCCCATTCTGCATCCCTTTCCATGTCTGTACATTGGGATTTTTTTCTTTTTTAGGTTTTTGAGTTTTGTTTCTTTTTTTGTTTAACTCATTAGAGCAAGATTTTAGTGTTGATCTAACCATTTATTTCAAAGACAGAGGAATCAGACTAGCCTTAATTAACACCTACATTTCACCCATCTAGAATTAAGAAATACATCTTTTTTGACATTCCTCCTAAATTGGGAGCACAGCCAGTCCTATATTCTTCCTTCATCTCTGAATTCTTCAGATGTACCCCCAGTTCAACCTTGGATTGCCTCCAGTTTGGCTGATATTTCACTCAGCTAAAACTACCATCAACAAAGCTCCTGTAACCCTGTCCTGGTCCCAGACAGGTTTGTCTGCCACCTTGTTGTCCTTCCTCCCTTCTCCATCCAGGTATGGTGCTTGCCTGTGCCTTAATGTTACTTATTTGGCTGTTTTGATTTGCATCTTAATCTGGTGCTTGTAAAGTCTCTTAGGTCATTCCTTTATTTTTTTTTTCAGAATTGCCAACCCTTTTTCCACTGAAGTCCTTCCTTTAATCCTTTCTTTTCTCCTTTTGTGACTGATCCCCCACATTTCTGAGCTTTAGCTTATCATTTTTTTATGTTGAATAAAGTCCATGATTCCCCTCTTGCATAAGTGTAGTCCCACAGACTTTATTTTTTGAAGAGGTTAGGTTACAGTTTATGAAAACAATTCAGTAAGTTTTGTTCATTCTACAATCTATTGCTCATGGCTTGAGATGAATATAAACATTATTTAGAAGACCTATTCTCTCGCTTTGATCTTCTTTTCTGGATGTCCTCCAGTGAATTTAATTTAACATGGCTAATGCTGAACTCTCTGCTGTCTTGAAATGTTTGTAATTGCACATTCTGATTATATTCTCATCTTCTTTATTACTCACATCTGGTGGTCACCTCTACTTCTCCATGTCTTAGAAATGTGTACCCAAATCTTGTGTCTCTTTTCTCAGCAACGTACAAGAGATCTGTTTGATTTTTTTTATTTCTCCCAAGGTATTCTAGGCTTCAGTGTGGGGCATTAAATAATGGTACATGCCCTCTTTTAAATTTCTTTTAGGATCCCCACTGTCTGACTCAAATGAAGCAGTGTATTAAAAGTAAAGACAACTTTTACAGCTCTTAGTTTCTCAGCATAATATTACAATGGCTCCTGGAAGCCAGTTTATATTAAATTCTTAGCACTTGTGTTTCTGGTGTATCTGTGCTTTGTGGGTATGATGCTTACTACTCTTTTAGTATATGGCAAACATGAATGATCAACAAATGCCAAACGAAAGCACAAATCTTCAGAGAACTATCAGCTGTCATCAAATTTATGCCAAGGATAGTGACCAGTTTCCACAGGCTTATAAATTATTCAGCTTTTTGGATAGATTTTAATGATGATTGGAGATGGCATGTTCATGAAATATCTCTGGCCTTTTTGTCAAATTTCAGGTTATAGTCCAAAGGACAGAAACTTTAGAACTGTTTTAAGAACTTATGAGAAAACTCGCATGTTCAATCTTGGCCCATTTTATCAATTATTTCTTTTGAACAGATGGTGGCAGATGCTCAAAATAAGTCTGAAAAATAAAAGTTGAACAAAGCTTTAAAAGTAACAGAAATAAGACAGGATTGGGGTTTTTAAGATGTTTACTGTTGAGAAGCAGTGAAAGCTTTTGCTGTAGCCTTTCCTACCTACTTTTAAAATGTAAAGAGTATCTTAAAGAGTAAGTAAGTGTTCAGCGGCAGGTTCCCTGTCTAGAAATACATTTCCCTGATTGCTAGTTTCCTGTTTCATGGAGAGGTTGCTAATTATTGCCTCATGTGTGTCATGAATTCTTTACTCATAAGGCTATCTTTAGTCTTTCATTCTTCTGCTAGTATTTTATAAAAGAAAAACGGAGGTTTTAAATTAAAAAAAAAAAGGTCAAGCAACTAAATGGGCAACTTATAGAAAGATAGATTAGCAAAAGCCTACACAGAGCATGTTCTGTGAAAAAGTTTCTTGCCTTTTAAATAGCTGTTGCCTGCTTGCCTTTTATCTTTTTCCCCTTTTAGCAGTAGGGAGTTGTTCAACAGGGTTTTTAAGATTCAAATAAAAAAAAATCGTTTGACTGAATGATATGTAAGAAATTAATGCTTTGTGAAAAACTCTTTCAGTCCCAAATCATAGAATCATGGAATTGTTAAGGTTGGTGAAGACCTCTAAGATCATCAAGTCCAACCATTAACCCAGCACCACTGTGTTAGCCACTAAATCATATCCCTACGTGCCACGGTCACAATCCTTTTAAATGCTTCCAGAGATGGTGATTCCACCACTTCCCTGAGCAGCCTGTTCCAATGTTTGACCATCCTTTCAGTGAAGAAATTTTCCCTAAAATCCAACCTGTACCTCCCCTGGCTCAACTTGAGGCCATTTGCTCTTGTCCTGTTACTTTTCAGCTGTGAGAAGAGAACTACTTTCCTTGCTATATATAGTGCAGCTGCAATCTTGAGCTTTTTAGGATTTTACCACATTATACTATCCTATTAGGGTAAAATAAACATGAGATTGTTAAATGGGGCATCTTTGGCAAGAATGCAACCACAGGCAAGTTTTTGCAGACACCTGTTGAAGGATAACAGTTTTTCACAAGTAAAATCTCATCTTCTGCTTAGCTCCTCTGTTAATAATGTATCACAGAAGATGTAAGATAGCTATCTTCAGAGACAAGCATTTGCATTAGAATTTAAAGTGTTCACACAGCAATGAAAGAAGCTGGATTTTTCCTATGAATGCAAGGCAACTTTATTTAGAATCTCTGCGTTATTAAGAAATATTGACAGTACTCGGTGTTTGCATTTT